GAGATGGAGCATTTGGCTATCACACGCTGATGCACCATTTCTAGCGCGAGTGGAAGTCAGTTGAACCTTTCCTTTTTTTTTTTTTTTTTTTTTTTTTTTTGGTGCTCTAATAGCCGTTTCATTTGCATATTGCACAATTACGCTAAAATGTACACAGCACAGAGATGGGCAATACCACACAAAAAGTCTTCTCTAAAAGACAAAAAGTGCGTTCGCTGTGGTTATCCTTTCTTAAGTTAGCAGCCTCTCCTCGACAGCCAAGCAGCGGCTTCTGGTATGCTGACAATTTAAGTTAGAGGGGAAAAGAATTCTCCTTAAAGAGGCAAGATAAAAAGGCACTGAGCTTGAGAACACGCTGGTTCTAGAAAGAACCAGACTTCATGGGACATGCACCATATGGATGAAAGGTATTGTGGAGCAAGTAATTCCTCTCTACTCAGAGGAAATCCTACCAGGGAGTCCCCGTAAGAGAAGGTGCAATCAGACAGTCCCGCTGACCACGAAGAGAGGCCTGGAGACAACAGGACAGGCAGGAAAAGAAGCTTTTAAACACCAGTTGTAGAGTTATCCTCCCGGAAGGTCGTTCAGCAGTTTTAACAGCAGCCAATCGCTGCCAGGGCAGAGCAGTCACGGCAGTTGTTCCCAAACATTTACAACAGCCTTAACTTCATTGTTGAGATCATGATCAGAAGAGAAACAAACACTAAAAAAGATCTTTTTCTGGAGTATTTTAGACAAGTGTTTTTACATTAGAGTTTGATATTTGAGTTATGCTTTACTATTCAGTATACTTGGAAGGAATATTAAAGCATTTAATTGGGGTCCCATCACTTGCTAATGCAGAACCCAATATATTGCTTTTGCAATGCCAACAGAACTACCGTCTAGAAATCAACACAGAATAGCAAAGAATGGGGCCCTGTCTTATAAAAGACAACAAAACCGAATGCTGCAGCTTTAAGAACGGTAATGCTCAAGGAACAGAACTTCTTGGAAAGGTTCAAGTCTTCGGAAGAGATTGCTGCTGAAATTTCCCTTATGAGCTTATGGCATCTTTAAAAGCTTGCGTTATATTCTGGAATTGCTATAGCTTGAAGTTTAAAAATACCCAGACACAAAACCCTCCAGGATCACATCTTCTCCCTGTCATGACCAACTGATTTCGCTAGCTATGGTGGAAATTCAAGTTCACACCTCAGCCTGTCCCTCTGTGCTTCTGTGCTTCCAGATTAAAATAAGGCCTCTGTAACACCTACGGAGACTGTTCAAGTTCACGTAAGGTGACATTACAGTTTCACCATATGTTTTGCCATACTCCACTCTGGAAAGCTATTTCAGTCTAGCTTGAAGCAAGATGCCAACACAATTAAGGAATACTAACTAACACTGTACACCCACTGTTGTAACAATTTCCCCCTCACCCACAAATGGAACTGGCAACTTTAATATTAGATTTTCTTAAAGAAAAAACTCAATGTAAAAAAGCAATGCTTGTTCCACTCTGCTAGAGCTTGACTCAAGTAAGTCTAGAAGACTTGTGACTGGAGACAAAAAGGCTTGGAAAGGAATGGAAAAAAAAATAATCTTAAACCAAACATAGACAATGGAGCCAGTGTTTGCAGCTCACTATTAAATAACTGGAAGACTAACAGCACCAACACAAACCTCATTTTGAAACACAGCTTACTGGTGACAACAAGAGCCCAACTGAGGGATTACTGTTACCACAATACAGGACGACAAATTTATTCCATGGTACTAGGGTACCTTCCAGAGGGGAGAAAAATAGCAGGTCTCCTACCCCAGGAATTAATGAGTTCGACATATATTCCCAAATAGAAGCATTTGCATTCTGTTTAACACCATACAAGATATTTGTCACTAAGAAAGCCAGAAGTTCAATAGATAGCATTCGCACACCCACTAAGCACATGGTCTGAAAAACAAATTCAGAAGCAATACTGTTCAACACTTCAGTTAGCCAGTACAAAAAAAAAAAAAAAAGAGAGGAATTTTCTCAATATTTTAACCTTTAAATCAGCAAAGAACTGCTTTATTGAATTCAAGCATTCAGTCTGAATATTACAAGCAGTAGTTTGTAAGCAAAACCTGGGTCTCTTCCGAACACTCAAACACCAAGATATCCTTTTGTAGAGGAACTTGGCTGCTCTTTCTCTAGAAGCATGAGTTTTCATCAGACATTCAGCATGCAAAAGGACAGTTTACCAACAATATGAAGTTCTATGGGTGTATTTATTTTTGTAACAGGTAAGCAGGGAACTAGCAAAATATACTAAGCTATTCAGATCCTTTATAGACCCACACAGCACAATACATACCCCTTCTTGCTTTGTGAATAGGTTGAGGCAGTCAGCCAGGGCCTCACATGTTTCCTGGGATACTTCAGAGACCACATCAACTTTTTGCAGGAGGGGAGAAGATATTCCTGAAAGCACAAAAGATTAGTAGCATTATGGCGACATTGTAAACTACAGGATTCTTTTAATTATTTTTTCATATAAGTAATACAGGCATACCATTCATATTCTACGGGAAGGCTGGTGCACTGTAAGATCTGTGTGAGAAAAGGGGAAGCAAAAGTAGCACTGAAGGAACATAAGTCCTTTCTTTTGCATCCTTTCCCTAGTACTGGAATAAATGGCACATGAATGGACTGAGTTTCTCTTTCGGCATGGCTAAGAAAGCAGAGGTAGTAAGCTATTGCAGCAAGACAGTGGAAAAGTGACTAGCAACGCTCTCCTTTTAACCGCTTTCTAGTTTTAAAAGCCTCAGAGTTGCCAGGTGACAGAATTCAAATACAAAGGACACTGCGCAAGTTTAATGTAAGTTAAAGTGAGAAATGTAGCTTTTTTTGCCTTCTACCATGGTATTATACAGAAGAGAAAAAGCTTACTACAGGGCAGCTGGAGATTTAGGTTTGAAAAATAGGTGAGGAGTTACAAGGACACTGATCAATAAAAGGGGAAGGAGATCTTATTTTCATGGACTCATCTTCTGGATAAGTAGTACAGCTTGCAGAGCAATACCACCTCACATCCTGACTTCTGTGACCATTTACAGAGGGGGCTACATGTCTAGAACCAGCAGAAAACCATGATAACCCAGTCAGCTAGTAGAAATTATTTAATATCTGAGTTCATCTTTGAAGTTTTGTGATGTGCAGCAGCTCCTCAGAAGTCAAGCAAGCCATTCTCTCAGGAAGCATACTCGTTGCAATTAAAGTAAGCGTTCATTTAGCGGCCATGGACTCCAGGATCATTTGACACCATTTAGTAACACAGGTGCTTCAAGCTGATGTCACACCAATAAAGATTAAGAGGTCTGGCAGTGACAGTTCTTGAATTTATTTTGCAACTTATACTGCTTGTGCAGGACAAGATACAGTACATATCCACACACTAATTATTGTCTTCGGTACCAAAGCTCACTCCTGACTGGAATTAGGAGTCTCTACTTACAGCAGCTATCAAGAACAGCTAGCACCTCTAGAAGGAAGGGCAGCACACGGAGTGCAGGAGCAGGAGACATCTTTATTTGTAATAAACAATATGCATAAATCTCAAAGATACCTGGATTTAGAATAGCATGTTGAGATGGTTAGGGAGAGAATTCTAAATATCAGCTCCCAAGATAGCCATTTTTATATTATGCAAAAGCTTTTAGGAGAAGTTCCACGCAGAAGGACTTTTAACTCAGAAATTTGCATTCTTCTGGAGCCAGAGGACTTGAATACATTAAAGATACCACATCAACCCTATGTGAGAACTGGAAGAGCTGCAGCAGTTTTCTCTGTTGAGACCTACAGAGGTTACACATGAACCTGGGAAGAGTTCACTGACCTATCAAGTTACAAACATTCATTGGGAGGAAAATAGGAACTTATTACTGCTATTGGCCAAGACTAGCAGTTTCTAGGAAAGAGATAGTATCTGTTTTTGCTTTACTATGGGTTTTGGTTACTCAAGTTGTGTATCAAAAAAAAAGTTCGTTTCCTCACTGGTTCTTCAGGTCAGCAATATGAGGTCAGAGAAACTGTCCCTACATCTACCAAAGGTAGACATATCCACCTCATACTAATTTTCAAGCTGCTTTTTGTGAAGGATTCAGTTTTATTATATTATTAATTACAAAAGCTTCCCAATAAAACACTCATATGTATTATGAAACCTTACTTTTCTCTGTGAAATAAAAATTCAGTAAAAATTCAGTTAGTGCAAGATAGGTTAACATCACACAGTAACTTACCCCAGTAGCTTATGGAGAAAAAGCTGTATTTTAGACTCCTTTTGGGAAGGCACAGGGATGGAAGAGGAAGAACTTTTCTCCTCCCAAAAGTATTCTATTACAGACTACGGATTTGTACAGATAAACAACTTGTTCTCTAGTTTGAGCTTCATAAATTTTAGTCACAACATGTAACTAGGACTCGGGTTCAAAGGAGCAACAGTTCTTACAGACCTCTTTTGTGTGTTTAATACGCAAGCAACTTCCGTACATGTTTAAGGCATTAAATGAAACAAGCTCTAATCTCTAACAGCTTGATGCTTGTGCTTTTTTTTGGCAATTATGCTGCAAAAAATCCAGGTACATGTTAAATTAAGAGTTATTTAAAATGAAGCCCAAGTAGTTCAAATCTGGCATAAAACTCATGGCAGAAGTCTGTGGAATATATCCCATCACACCATGCCTCCAGTTCCCTGTATAGTTTTGTGATTTCACTTCACATCCTGTTTATCATGCCTCAGCTTTCATTGTGTGTCTACTCACTACAAGGTAAGTTCTTTGAGAGGAATGCTAGAGTAAGACAGCTAGCTCTTTGCACCTGTCAGTGGACACTTATGCTCTGCAATAAGCTACCAACTACAGTTTTTTTAGAACCTTGAAAGTGAACTGCTATGTTATATTCCTGTGACACTACTCAGTAAGCACTATATCTAAAGGCAGTTTCACTACATTTACACCCACTAATAAAATTTCTTTCAGTCAACGTACTTGTTAGTTGTTCCCCCAAAGCTGAAATCTTAGTTCTTAAAAATTATTATAATGTTACTTTATTTGAATCTTTTTCAATGAGGAAAACAGTCCTGTATTTTTAAGCTCCTGAAAATTTAATTTCAGTGAAATTAAAGCATGTGCTGCTTAAAAGAAAAAATTAGTTGCCTGGTAACAAACTGCATTTCAGAAGAATAAGTTTTACCTTTTGTAGCATCCAAAGATTTAACCATTGCAAGAAAGTCTGAAATCTCTTTACTGAGTCTTTGTTGGCATGCTTGCGCTTTCTGAAAGACAGCAAGGACAGCTAGTTCACAAGTGCCTCATTCTAAGGAAACCGTATGCTTATTCTCTTAACTATACTGAAATTTTTAAATTTGAAGAACATTAAATCTTACAAAGATTCCCAGTGACAGAGACTGATACATTAAAACTGAAAGAAATTACTTGAAATACCTTCAAAGACACAAAAGCAAACAAAAGATTTATGCACATTATATTGCTGACAGGCTTTTGTTTAAATTAGCATAGCAAACCAAAACCCAAAGCTATGTTGTATGTACCACTTTTGCATTTTCCCCCCTTTTTTATTAAAAAATTTGAAAACCCAGGAAAAGCCATTGCTTGTTCTTTGACAAACCTAAGGCCAAAATAAGCAAATGCATAGGTTAATTGATGTATGGCAAGTACAGTGACATGTAGGAACCCAGCCATCATATTCCAAGCCTGCATTTGAACTTGAAGACAGTTATCTATTAGATAATACCATCTTCTGTAGGCTGCTGGGAGCTGCCAGCAACAGTTATCCTCCCATCTCTGTTTTGCCATGAGCTACTTTGAGTTCTTGTACCAAAAGGTATGGTACAAGCCATTTGGAGTTCAGTCACATGAAGATTTTTGTGTTGCAGTGTCAACTTTGCCTTAAAGTAAAAGGGGTTTAGAAGTATATGTATGGCTAAAAGCAAGAATCACAGGCTGAATGCTAGAATTATCAAGGAAGACTCATTTGCATTGCAGGTCTGAACAATCACGATACAACGCATCTAATGTGACCTGAGGTGTTAAAGGATCGTTTCTATGCATTTTCGTTGCCTATTTTATAGGGGTAGAGCTCGCTGAAGGTTAGCTTTGTTATCCTCCAGTCCTGGTGTCACCAAGTACAGTACACACGGCTCCCTCTCCTGGCTGAACCCAAGCAACTTTCTACCTTGCAGTAGTGCTGGTAAAACTGAAAAACACAACCCTGTAACTATGATAAACATGCCATTTTATGCATACAGTCTGAACAGCAATACATGACAGTAAGCAGTGCAAATACAAGCAGTATTTATGCATCCATGGAAAGAAAGAATCATTACTTTTAGCCAAAAGTACACTAAAGTATTTCAATACAAAACAGTACTAATCTGCAACTGCATAGATGCATAAGCCAAGTAAGTATTCAGCACATACTTTCAGAGTATCCTGTAGGTCTGTAACAGATACCGTATCATCTTCCTCATCATCACTACTCAACTGTTCCTGTGTGCAATAATGAGTGCTATATGCAGAGTGGTCTTCTATTGCTTCCAGCCAACTCTGAATGGAAAAAAAAAAAATCCAGAGTTAATACACTTCTCAACGGTCATCCCCAGAAGGCAACAGCATACATGCAAAAGAACAAATTAAAATTTTCTATTGATGTGAATAAGATACGCATTAGTAAAATGAGACACCTTAATGAGCAGAAAATAGATTGTTAAAATTGTAAAATGTATTCAAGATAAGATACTCGCTGGTTAGAGTGCTATCTAGGACTTGACTAATCAAAGTTTAAGCACAAATGCCACTCACCCCTCACTCTATCCAAGATCACATAAAAAAAGTCACATCAATTAAGAAAAGACTAGGGAATGTATTTTGCATCTTTGGGTTTCTGTTCAGACAGTAAGGTCTCTGTGACAATGTCTGCCTTCTTATGCATGACAAACTCTGTACAAAACCTCAAGCACTATCATAATTAAGAGGTAGATTCTTTTCCTGTTCATAGAATCACAGAGTGGCTGAGGTTGGAAGGGATCTCTGGGGGTTCTCCAGTCCAACCCCCTCTGCTCAAGCAGGGCCACCTAGCACTGGTTGCCCAGGACCATGTCCAGATGGCTTTTGATTATCTCCGAGGATGGAGACTGCACAACGTCTCTAGGCACCGTGTGCCAGTGCTCGGTTACCCTCACAATTCTTACGTTCAGAGGGAACTTCCCATGTTTCAGTTTGCGCCCACTGCCTCTGGTCCTGTCATCAGGCACCACTGGAAAGACCCTGGCTTTGTCCTCTTTGCACTCTCCCTTCAGGTATTTACGTACATTGACAAGATCCCCCTGAGCCTTCTCCTCTCCAGGCTGAGCAGTCCCAGCTCTCTCAGCCTTTCCTACTATTAAGAGATGCTGTGGTCCCTTTAATCACCTTAGTCGCCCTTTGTTGTGCTCTCTTCAGTATGTCTAACGTCTCTCTCATACTGGGGAGCCCAGAACTGGACACAGTACTCCAGTTGCCTCCACCCCTACTTCATCTCTAGTTAGTACACCTGTAGAAGTACAATAGTAACTACACTACAAATAGCGCCAAAAAAAAAAAGTTATTTTCTTGTTTCAGATCCACCTTTTAAGAAAATATAATTTATTAGGTCATCTTGGAGAATGGCTAAGAGTAGAATGTACCATTAAACATTCTTTCATTCGGGATAATGAACTATGAAAGAAAGTGCAACAGAAGGAAGTTGCAATAAAAATTTACCACATGGAGAAGTAAAAAAAAAAAAAAAAAAAAAGAGGAAGTTAGACTACAGGGCATAATACATGCACAGAGCTGAAAACAAGGTGGCACTAATTTTAAAGAAGAAAATGGCTATCTGTCCATTTTTGCTATTTAGTCTATAGTCGTGCCAAAAGATTTAATATATGCACTTATGGTACCAACTCCTGATAATCAAAATACTGAACCCACTACTAATGCATCCATAGCAAGCAGAATGCAAACTATTCATTACAGAAGTTATTACATTTTACAGCCTTTGATAAAGAGTCATTATTACCTCTCTTGTTTGAGAAGGAAGGCTATTTTTAGGAATCTTGAAACGATGAACTGTGTCATCAAAACATCTGACAGAAAAGAAGCAACTGTCTGTAGATTTTACCTAAAGCAACATGGAGAAAAGACAAAATTAGTATAATGAACCAGTAAGAACAGAAAAAACTGTTAAGAGTAAGCAAGGTAGAGAATTACTTTTAACTCAGAAGTTTTTGCCTCAGTTTTGCATCAAAACGACTACAGTTTACAAAAAGCTTGGTCAGAAGAGTTTTGCAAACTGTGCTCTCTTGCACTGTACATCATGAATGAGAATATAGAAGTTCTTTATGTCAAAATTTTGTATTTGCATATATTTGCACCAATTGATTCAGACAGAACCTCAACAACAGTGCAAGACCACCAATATTAAGGAATTTGTAGATATAGAAAAGCATATTCATATAGTACTGTAGTTTAACAGAACTTGTGGCTCCAATCTATAGAACTAGGACAGGTTGGTTATAGCAGAAAGAAGTACTGAAATGATCCTAAATGCATTCTCCTTAAACGCTTCGTCTTCCTGTGTATTATACACGACACCTGGCTTGTCTTTCCTTTGTCCTCTGTTCACCCCTTCCAATTAAGGAAGTTTTCCAAAAGTCACCTTCAGAATTGGTTCATCTCAGTTGGAGAACTGAAGTTACGCAATCAGTCATGAGTAGCCAGTGACAGCTACAGGAGGAACTAGAGCTTTGCTATTCTGTATCACATGCTCCAAACAGTTGTTTTGCACTACCGAAGAGGCATGCTTTTTAGGAAACCTGGTGTTTAAGTCTTCATGACTTCGGAAAGAAGTGAAAGAGCTTTATGGCCACCTTACATATGAGAATACTTCGCAAGAAACACTGGTTCTTGTCAAGCAACAGCACAAGCTTTTTCCCTTTTTTATAAAGAAGGCATGCTTACCAACCTAGGTGAAGTTTTCATTGTCTAAGTATGGAACACCAGCACATAAAAAACCCAGTAGTTACAAGTCACTTCCTACCGTGCAGACAGCTTGTGTTAGATGCTTGCATCCCTGACGATGATCATTATTTACCGCATCAGCTCTTTGAAAGAAAGAGAGATTTAATAAATTGAAGATGAGAATTATTTAAATTGCTTATTAGAAATTTAAACACAGAACTTACTGTCTCCGATACCAAGAAAGGACTCCATGTTCTAGAACTATCCAGTAGAGTTTCCAACCAAAAAATCGTGAGCTCTAAAAAAATTAAAACCAAAGCAAAACAAAAAAGGCCAAGTACGGTTAACAGCTGAAGAGTTACTGTTCCCAGTAAGTTTGATAGCTTGAAGGCTATTATGTAAAACTGGCAGTCGTTAGAAAAACATTTTTTTACATATTTAGGTGATCACAGCAACCTGAGAATACTTTACAATTACGGTGCTATTTTCATTTTTGGAAATACTTAAAGACAAAAGTTTTGTTGAGCCTGCTATTCAGTAAGAACTGAAATATTAAAATGCTGCATTTTTTAACATTACAGGGGTTGTTGATCACCACATAATTCTACTTTATAAAATCAAATTAGAAACAAAACACACTGAGATATCCAACTACAACATTTTACCTTTCACAAGCTTTAGTACATAGTTCTGGTCTAAAAACAGTTCCTTCTATTACAATTGTGAGTGAATACATAGGAAAATTTACACTGAAGAAAACTTCAAAGAGTCTTCAAAGATTTCACTAAGGAACATAAAAATTAAGCATTCATGTAGAAGATGTAGAAAACTTGTTTTTTTAACAAGGGAAAAAAGAAGATTCACTTGAGTATCAGAGCAAAACAAGTGTTTGACTGACATCTTCCCTCTAAGTTTTTAAATTTCCAGAAGAAGGTGAACTTGTGGTAAAATATTAGTTATAGATTATTAGAGAGCAAGACATCTATTCAGGAAAGAAAAAAAAAAAGAAAAAAAAATCTAACCAAAAACATTTTGCTCACCACACAGACAAGGCACAAAACCTTACCACAGTGAAGCTTTGCCACAAAAATTATCAAGAAAAGAAGAGAAAGACTGAGAGACTATTTTAGGGACTGAGGTTAAGATCACAGTGCCATGAATCTAGTAACCTCTCCACTCAGCCAGCCCATTTATAATTTATCCAATATACTAGATTAAAATCAAGTCATTGAACAAACGTATTACTGAAAACCTCCCTCATTCATCAACTCACTTAAGTACAGAAAATCACATACTTTGAGATCTTATAAGCTATTTTAGAATAGGAAATAAGACATACCTTCCATAGGAGACCTTCGTATCGTCTCAGGGGTTTGTTCATAACCTGCACAGAAATTAAAGCTTATACAGGAATAGCTTCAACTAGACAGCCTTGGCAAGTGGCATTTTAAACGGGTACAAAAGTTCCTACCTTTCCAGTTTTACCTGCCAGTATCAGTTTCATTTCTGCACCTTGGGCTAGATCAAGGGGTGTCTGATCTGTTTGGTAACCAAGATGAGGCATGAGAATTTGATGCATATAAACCTAGACATACTTAACTTAAAAATAATCACTCTGACACTGTGTTTACCCATCCAAGTTTGGTCCCACAAGCATCCAAGTTTACCTGGAATTGGGGAGTGTAAGCTCGAGGGCAGAAGACCAAAAAAGGCTCTGAACTTTAGTGCACTGAACTGCCCTTCAGAGTTCTACTGGCCACAGAGGCGGCTTTTGCCCTTACTTAAGTTTGGTTTTGCACTTCAACTACATAAAACAGTTCAGAACATTCACAAATATCAAGATAGAGGCATCTTTAATTAGATGACAAGTACAGAGTCTGCATAACATCTGCCTAAAATTTTCCTGGATTTGCTTCCATGAGAAGGCTTCTTCTGAAAAGTCATTTTGTCTGGGCCACACCTTCAATCTTACCACTTTCTTTGTTACTTGTGTTCAGTGTTTAGCATCAAGAAAACAAAAGCCAGGCATGTTTCATGGTTAAGACCGACAGCAGGTAAATTTTTCTAGAAATGGGTAAGTTCGGAAAATAAAAGCATATATGATAAGTATTTTGCTACAGTTCTTAAGTCTCTTGCAATTTAGTCAGTGTTGGTCTTCCTTTTTTAGTGATACATATCTTGGAAAGCAGCATAAGATTTTCCCTGAACACTGAATAGTAAGTAACATAGCTTATAGCAGCTGTTAAATTTCTGTCTCTTCTTAACACTTTACGTACTTTCATTTGGTACTCACCATTTTTGTTTCTTATTTTAGGATCTGCTCCATTTTTCAGAAGTTTCAATGCACAGTGCTTATGGGCACGGTATGCTGCACAATGCAACGGTGTGTTCCCCATCTGATCTGTACAGTTGATATCAGGTGGTTTGGGCTTGTTCAACTGGAAAAAACAAAGTTTTGCTTACTTATCAGTTTTCCTCCCTCTCCAGATGCCACATTCATTCTTTTGAAAGTTAGCTGTTCCTAACTAGGGTGCTTCAGTGTAGATCTGGCAACAAAGAGGGACATGTAGCAAGTGTTATGCCCCCCTTCCAGAGAAGGGCAAGGACTACAACAGTGAAGCAAGATGTTCAGCTAGAGTAAGGAACTTCTCAGGTTTTGACTCCTTGCCTCGACGCCTTTTAAGCCACATGCCTGTGCTTTTAGCAGCTCACACCTTGTTACAAGGCAGTATTCTGAAGAAAGTTTCATGCATAGACTCATTGAGATAAAAGCTCCCCGGTTATTTCAGTAAGTGTACAATAAATTTTTGAGAACTCACATGAAGAACACACTGGTTTTGCCTCAAACAGACTAAAAAGCCTGGGTTAAGATTCAGATACTGAAGGTCTAGGTTTTAGTAGCAAAACACACTGTGATCTACTGAGAATCCTGACAGAAGAGAAGCATAAAAGCCACCATTACCATTTGACTTCAAGAACCTTCAATAAAAGGAGCAGTTATAAAGTTAAAGCACATGCAGGAAAAAGAGAAAGAATGGTCTGAAGTCAAATTAGAAGGTTTAGAGAAACTGCAGCATTAAATTATCTCTTCCAGACAATTGTGTTAGAATACACAGTACAGTCTTTTTTGATAAAAATAATCAAGATAAAGGAGAACTAACAATAAAAGGTTATCATTCAAGTAAGGGGCACTGTTCCAAAAGAAGGGCAGTAGAGAACAAATTCTCCTGTGTTAAGTCTCACAATAAAAGCAGACTTAAGCAACTAAAGAAGTTTCATAAGCATAGTCTGCTAATTAAAAAAGATACAGTAGGAGCAGAAAGGCCTGAACATCAATAGCCAAAGCTTAAGGAATTCTCAAGATAAAGGACAGTTCAGAAGAGCTACACAAATTCGCCACAGAGGTATTAACCTAAAAGCAGGAAAGTCAAGGAGGTTTACACTACAGAACTGTAAGTGGAGAAAGTGCTTTGGACTTCCTCAAGAGTCAGCAGGAGTTTTAAAATTGTAATTCAATGGCCAGAGGTCCAAGTACTCACCGAAGGACTCCAGGAAAAACCTGTTACAACTTGACTTAAAAACTGCCTCAGGGTCAAAAAAAGTGATAAGTACTTTGAAAAGTTTTAGAGGTCAACATACAGCTGTCATCACATATACAGAGCTCAATGATACTAAGTATAAAAAACATCACTTAAAATTGAAAAATGTTTATAGGAAGAGTTACATGTGCATGCATGGTTACATGCCACATGACAGAAAGCACCAAGTTCTTTAATGACAGATTTCTATGAGCATTCACCTTTTTCTATATTTTCCTGCATCAGTTTAAGGCTTAGTCAGCATGCATGCAACATCAAATGCAACAAGTGTTAGGAATTACCAGAATCAAGAACAGATCACTTATGCCAGTGTATTAATTACAATTAATACAATCATGCACTATTCTTCCACATCTTAAGTACTGTGTACAGCTCTGGTTCTCTCTCCATTTCGAAGAGGATAATACAAAAAGTACAAATTAAAATTACAAGGATAAGCAAAGATTTAAAAGCAGTTTCCATGCAAGAAGGACTTAGAAAGACAAGGGTTCTTCAGACTAGAAGAGATAAATTTAGAGGAGGGAAAGACAACAGAATTTTGAATAGGTGTTCACTCTGGCTTCTAGGCAGAAAAGGAAAGAATGTCGAATTTCTCAACATACAAATCTCGTTTGTGTATTTTCTATTAGAAGTGAGTAGAAGCATTCAGCCTGCTTTGATGTCTTAAAAGGTATTACCTAAAGGTGCTACCCAGGTAGAATAACGTTCCCCAGTGCACATCTTACTTCCAAGGAAACTCTTCAGTCTCTCAAAAGCTTGAGTTCAACCACTGAGACTTGTCTTCAAAAATCCAACTGGATATGGTCCTGGGCAACCTGCTCTAGTTGACTCTGCACTGCAAACAGGGATTGGACTAGATCATCACCAGAGGTGCCCTCCAGTCTCAATTCTTCTGTGATTTGCTTCTCCTATAGCCTTACCATGGTATTATTCAGCTTGAATTACTACGAGAGTGTGTGCGCACACACAGTTTTCAAGTCCTGCTCAGGATGAAATTGTGTTGTGCAGATGACTGTCCATTAAAAACTAAGATATAAAACAAGCCATACTGTGGTGAAAACCTAAGCACCCACAACATTAAGGTATCCACAAAAACATAACAAGCTTACGTCAGTAGATCTAGAACCATTACGCTGCTATTTACAGCTAACTGAAGACTATTTAGAAACATGAAAGAAGCTGAAAACCAGTGTTTTGCAGCCTCCAACAAGGAGGCTGGAAAACCCTTGAGGGTTCAGCACCTTACCAACGTAACACAGTGCACAGCACTAACATTCTGAAGTCACAGCACTTTGAAATGCAAGGCCTAATGTCACATACAGTTACATGAGCACTATGACTTGAACCACCCGACACAGAAGTGTTACAAGCACTTGAATTCTTACCAAGGCAGTCAGCTTCCCCGTTTCCCCCTCTCTTGCTGCTCCTAAGAGTTCTTCTTCCAGTTTCCTTTCTTGTGTCCTTTCCACTGCTATTAAAAAAAAAAACAAACAAAACCCAACCCCAGTTTAAGGTCAGTCTCACTAAAGCAGCAAGTACATACAAAGTACAGCATTCAAGAAACTATATCAAAACAAGCCTAGAGAAACAAGAGTTTCCAGTGTTATTTACTTGGGACAGGTATAAATGGAATATTTATTCAGAAAAGTCTGTGTCAGAGCAAAAATATGTTCAAAAACATGTAACATTTGACAAGATATGTGAGTGTGCATACACATGTGCACATATATATATGTTACTATTAATTTTTAAACACTTTAAAACCCAACTTCACTCCCTAGTAAAAGCGAAAGCTGGAGAACTACGTGACACCCCCATCAGATCTTCCCTGTGTTCTTTTCAGTTTCTCTTCTACTTTTCCTACCATGCTACAGAAATTTTATTCTTCTCTAACAATCCAGCAGATGAGCAGCAGAAAGGACTGTTATCTGTGCACTTGCAGGTAGAATTAGAAGAGAGATCACTTTTCACATATACAATCTGTGGTATCGGACATGGAACTTCAGCAGTATTTAGGGGTATCACACAGTAACACCAGGAAGCAACACAGTTCTTGAACTCTCCAAAACTATAAGCAGTGAGCCTACGTAAGTATTTGGACACCATCTCCCTCAATTTCAACACTTGTGAGGCAATGGAGGAAACAAGGGGAACGGCTTTTACTTTTTTTTTCCTTTTGACATAACCTCTAAGACTGCAATAGCAAGTCCTAAACTTGGTCCAAAACTAGGTCACCCTTGCAAACTGTTCAGAATTTTGCTCTTTAATGATTTTGTTGACACAAAGTCACTTACTGTTCTTGACTTGAGTTCTTCCTCTTCCAGTGAGCTAAGGCTTTGACTGCCACGTACCATTCAGAGTTGTAGCAAGGATTACCCCAACAGGATTGAAATAGTTACTTGAATAATGCTATTGGCATTCATGATACTTAACTATCCAAGTCACTTGCAGACATACTGTGAAAAAACCCCAGTTGTCAGTACTGCAGACAGGAACCAAAAACTAACTTTTTTCTTTCTAATGACCAATTTAAAAAGAAAATTCAATTGAGCTTCTGTAACTTGCAAGAGAAAAATCAGCTTTTAGAATGTACAAGTGTTGGAAAAAAAAAACAAACCACACTATGACCTATTAAAGTTACCTTCCAACATATTCCTTATGTCTTTATCATGAGTAACTTCTTTTGCAGTCTCTCCGCTCCCATTAACAATAGAAGTATCAGCATTACACTGCAAGAGTAACATCACCACCTCCTGGAAAACAATTTGAAAAACACTGCTTATCTGTCTCTGTTATGGCAAGGCCACAATCCGTCTTTTCAGCTATTGACATCCTGTAAGACGAGCTGTATAACGGCTTCTCACCACTGCTGACTTATGAAAACAGGAAGGGATGTTTTAGAGAGATTGAAGAGTGGGACTAACTGCAACCTTCTTTCTCACGTCAGTCAGGCTGAAGGAACTAACAGGAGATTAGTTACGGCTGAACAGACCCACTCCAATTTAAAAGCTGGTGTACCTGGTGCAAATGCTGAATTTGGCAGATAAAAATAGTACGATTGGCTCTTTTGATAAGAAACTAAGTAGTCACTCCTTCAGAAGGGCCAAGAGGTTATCTATAGAGGCAGTACTAGTTTGGGAATGATGGTGGCGTGTGGGGAACAATCAACCAATCTCACATTACAGGCCTATAAAAAGCTCTTTAGTTCTAGTTTTCTATGAAGAAACGATACTTCAAGACACCAAATGACCACTGTGTCCTAATTTATAGTTTTTTCCCCCTTCAGAAGCCACAAGCCACTAAGATTAAAACAATATGGTTTCTCCCTATGTAAACATGCAGTTAGTTAGGAGGAACAATCCCTACTCCTTTTACTGTGTCAAACACACCAGGCACAAACACAAATTAACCTGTTGTACTTTAGCAGTAGATGGGAGATCTTTACACTGGTTTCCACATGGTAATTAGCACCTGCAGCTAGAGGTAGTGCTATGCTTTAGCATTTTCTGACACACAGCAGAAGCAGAACAGAAGGAACATCAGTTAGTTACACAACTGATGCACAGTGCTACAGTGGAAGACAACTACTTTTTTTTTTCTGTCTGCCAGCAAAATCTTTGTCAATAAAAAGCTAAAAAAAAAAATGACAAAGTATACCAAGGAAAACCATGGACCAGTCTTCTCCTGCCTTCAAGAAAAGATATCTGTACTATGTTTTCATTTTGGACAGTTACACCAGCTAGGCAATATGCCTAGTTCTTTTGAATGCACTGTACCAAAACAGATAACTCCTTTTTAGACAGTGTAAAAACATCATTTTGAAGTGATCTTTTTGCTATTATTTCCTTAATAATTCTATGATTGAGGCTTTAAAAAAAGGGAACATACTTTACCTTACGTCCTGTGAAAGCTGCACGATGAAGTGGAGTGTCCCCCATGTCATTCAGCACATTCACATCTGCACCAGCCTAAAGAGCAAGACCAAAAGACATCTCAATGCCCTTCCAACTACATAGCTATTGCCTTCGACCAGGGGAAGGGGGAGGACAGGACACTAATGTAGGCCTTGTGGCAAATCAGATCAGAACTGTAACACAGCCATCCTGGAAATTAAGATAAAACACATATGTAAGATTCATAACCAGCATTCTATAAACCACTTTAAAAAAGGAAAAGTCTCCTGTGTTTTTTCCAGGCATCTCTCTCACTTTTGAGAAGAAGGTATATAGAAAATAAGTTTAACACAGGGGGTGGAGGTGCTGTTGGTGGGGGTTTTTTTTGTTTTTTTGTTTGGGTTTTTTTTTGGGGGGGGGAACAACACAAAAACCAAAACAACTTATTGAAAGAACTGCAATGGTACTGGATAACGTGTACACATATTATTACAGACATACACACAGTAGCACCAGCCTCTTGGTGCTCCTGATTTAACAAGTGGAGTTCTCTCTAGGCACCTATTGCTGCTCTTCCACTTGAAGTGAAACTTCCATGTCAGCATTAAGATGGTACCATCTGAAACTTAACCTTTCTCCTCCCTTTTCTCTTATACAATCTTTGTCTTGAATCTTCCTTCCTCCTGTCACACACTTTCTCTAGCCCATACCTTTTCTCTGAAAGGAAGACTGCTTGCACTGGCATTGTTCCAGGAAACCAAGAAAGCCTACCCTTCCTTCCTTTAAGCATTTCTTCTACAGCACTTTACCTAGCCTCTCAAAAAGTCAGAAAGAGGGCAGGATATATATAACTTTATCACATATGTTTAGATCACATAATTTAGCCAGATCACTGCTGCCTGCCTAAAGTTAACTGATGAACCTGACTCTAGTTCCAGAGCTCTGTTTCTGACCATACCTCATTCACTTGCTCTTTCAGCACAAAATCTAGGCACAAGTACACAGAGACACCTGTATGTGCCTAGCTTTCAGAGGTGCACAGCCTCCTTTATTATGCCCCTCATTCTTTAAATAATACCCTTTCAAGAGCCTTATCAGCAAAGAAGAAAACACAAAGTTACACATACTCTTTCAACTCTGGAAGTGTTGATAAACGCATTAAGTGACAAAACTTTACCTTTTGCTTTAAGTAGCCCTCTTGGATTGAGAACAGCATTATCTACTGAGCAGGTGTGTAGGCTAGAGAAGGACTTCTCAAAGAAATCTCAACTTTGTTTCCTGCTTTCGTCACGATTATGGCTGGTAGCCTTTATTCCAAATGAAATTCAAGTTTAGGTTAGCTACCTTTGGATTTGAGGCTGTTTAGTGTGTTCCTGCCATCTACAGCAAAACCTCTCAAACAGGAATAGAGTATAATACAGTTAAGGTTGGTTGAAGCTACCCTGAGAGCCGAGGGTTTAAAAAAAAAAAAAAAACAACCAAAAAAACCCCAAAAAACTCAGACAAACAATGGCAAATGCAGTGCAGATCTGGCTATGAAGATACAAATAGGTCAGCTTTGACCACAGAGGTTTATAATTTCTAAGTTCATCACACAGTTCATTATTTCAAAGATATTAGAAAGAAATAACGAGTCAAACTAAGTTAGCCTGTGCCTGGAAAGAAACACATAAAAGTTACTTTGCACAGAATTCTGAACATACTTCTGTGCACAACATCCGATTAGATAACACAGACGTTTTTGCATTTGTAACACTTTAGCCTTCCCTGCAACTCAGTAAGCAAAATCGCCTAAGTTACATACTTTAGGTACTACAGTAAGCTAGATCAGGCCCTTGAAACATTTGCATTACTAGTATCAGATGTTGGCTTACTATATGCAGATATCCACTGAGCCTGAAAAGGGCTGAAGCTTTCACAAGTGCATACCTATATACTACACGTCATTAATTCCTAAATTCAGATGGTTACATAGATAAAAACACACACACTTCATGAGAAAGTTAGCTAAGTACTGATAGCTGTAAAAAGTGTTGAGAGTAACAGCTGTATACTATGGTATAGACTTCCAGTGTCACCATTTTGGATCCTTGTAAACTGGGCTGATCTTAATATCACAACTATTGCATTCTTAGTTTTAATAATCAGCTTAGTTATCTCTACGTTACATGCAGATAAACTGTAGGAGTGGCTCCACTTCTCTACAAAGCTGCCTTTCTTCTATCACAAAAACCTGAATAAATACTGCTTCTAGCAAAACAGAATTTTCTGCCTTATATACAGGGGCAAATAGAAATATACCTTCAGCAAATCCTCTACCACAACAGCATGTCCGAAGTAGCACGCAAGGTGAAGAGGTGTCCAACCCATATTAGATTTACTTCTGCCTAAAAGACAAAACAGGTAAATTAAGTTTTGGTCACATGGTACAAAAAAGATCTTGTCACGTGCTTGGAGGTTGGCATGGATGATCATCCTTCACAGGAACAGAGGAGCAAGGAGGCTGGAAGTATCAATACTATTCATGTCATCTGAATTACTAAATCAGGATGCAGTCTAAGAACATTAGATTCAAACCTACAAAATCTTTCTGAAAGGAAAAAGTCATGTGGTCTGATGGAGAATACAACTTTTGTTTTCATGTAATACTTTGTTCTTCAACAGTAGCAAGAAGCTTCAGTTACTTTCAGTCACTATGAAAATAGCACATGCAAGTACCCATTTCTCTCGTTTATCAAAACCCAGTTTGCTTTATCTGATTTTATATCCTGCACACAAATGAGAGGTAGGACAACTCACCTTTCCAAACTGATGATTCAAACCAAAACAGGTGGGATGGCCTAATGTTAGGGTTTTTTGTTGTCTTGTACTTGTACTCAATTTTAATAAAGATAGCCTTACTAAGTATCAGGATTTGAAATCTTTGTACCCTGCAGAACTCATGTACCATCTACAGCTGCAAGCCTCTGCAGGAATGATAAGCGTAAGTAGGAAGCAGGCACAGAAGTGACCATGCAAAGGAAACTATCATTTATGCTTTAAAGAGCATTTAAAGCATGTCCTGGAGGACTGGCTGTATGAATGAAATTGAAGAACTATTCTACAATCACTTCTTCAAAAGCAAGACATTACAAGTATTAGAGATTACTAATTTAACAACTCATGTTAGTTTCCAGTTGCAACACTCGACTGTACTAAGCAAAGCTGATCTGTGCTTTGTTTTTACTAAGGAACAGACCACAGCATTCCAAGTGCCATCTAAAAGCTATCATTCTGTATTTGGAAGCAAAATGAAAATGAAGCATTAGAAATTGTTTTGAAGTTACTGCCACCATTAAGTTTTCCCTTTTTATGTATCCTCAAGCATTGAAGTCTGGAACATGCATAACATTAAGTTTGCCCTGAGGGGACAAGCCACTAGCACAAGGGAAGAGAGAACTGCTGGTCTTGCAAGTTCATCATTCTTTCTGATCTCATATTACAAATTAACATTAGGATGTGACTCACAGCAAAAATATTTTCCCATTTCTTATAATTGTTTCCAGCCAACATTTTTGCCCTCTGTTGGCTATTTACTTTGTTATTTGGTTCTCTCTCTTCTCAACTCCTGCTGTTGTTCCAACCACAGATTTAGTATCTTCCCCCCATCCCAGTCTGGCCTACAAGAGAACTCCTGCCCTATGTGACTGATGGGCTGAAAGTACCACAGAAGATAAATACTGTGTGGACGACTAATTCTGGGGGCTACATATCCTGGACAACGTACTAAGTGGACATCATTCATCCCTCAGTCTAGTAGAGAAGAAGGTTCTTTCAAAGAACACGAAAGAGGTCCAAGTTGCACTGAATTCATACAGTTAGCCCAAGACAGTCATTAGTTACAGCACTGACAAGACAGTGCTGCTGTTAAGAAATTTGGTCATGAAAAAAAAAAATAAGGAACCTGGCCAGATTTGTAGTTCTTACTGAATTAAGTGCCAGAGGCCCTTCTTCTGCATCCACTCTGAATGTTTGCATTTCTGATGTTAGCTGACCAGTTACTTCTCAAGCTCTCGAGGTGTTTGTTACTTCTCTCCAAGTGACCACAAGTGTTTGCACTTTTTTTTTTATTAGTATTTTAAACCAGGACATCATTACACTGAAGAGAATACAAGGACAGGAAAGCAGAATAAACAGAATAGCCCTCCCACCCAGTCCTTTGCTTTGATGCCAGTTAGTCTCATTGTTAGCATTTGTTTAGAGAATGGAGACAAACTAGGCAGTCATCTCCTGGCTGTAGTCTGCCAGGCTACTGTGCAGTCACTCAAATGTATATTTTGGCATAACACACTGTTGACCATTGACCTTATTTTACAGTTTTCTTACTTTGCAAAGTCCTAGATATTCTATTTCCTTGTATTTAAGGACAATAAGCTAACATAGCCTTAGAAAATATGATAGTTTTGGATGAAACCCAGGTTTAGTACTGTTTTAATGCGGATACCTTCTTCTGAAACCAGTGAACTGAGAAAACTGGAAATGGAAGTTCACATCATTTGGCTGGATTCTCACCAAGCAAGTCCTGCTTATCTCCAAGTATTGACTGGCTAAAATCTAGTCACAACAGAAAAAAGTAGGAGAAGCCTGGATTTACTTTCTCTTCCTTCATTTTGGCTGAAATCGGGATGTTCAAGATCACTCTTGTCAGACTTCACACTTGTAAATCTAGAGCACAGCCTCAGATATAAACTCACCCTTTGAAAGACAAGACAGGTTTTACAAGATGTTGAAGGTAGGCTTTGACACCCAGGCGCATTAATGTGTCTGACTTATGTCTCCTAAGGCATGCTCTGGGGAAAGTTTATACTACCTCCAGTACAGTCTCCCACCTGCTCCAAAAGTACTTTATTCCAAGCCAAGTGTCATTGCCACATCAGGTGCAAATCCTGAAGGAACTGCTGCAGCATTGAAGACATTCCCCATACCCTGACTTTCTAGGGATATCTGATTATCCAGAAGGTAATGACAGAAGGACAAAAGGCTGTAGGGAAGAGAAGGAAGATTATGGGTTGCAAAAAGTCAGTTACAGTCTACAGCCTGTATTTTAGTTAATCATCATGTGGTTGTGCAATTACTATCCGGTAGTACCTAACAGATCAGGATTTGTAGCAAGACATAGTGGTTTTGCTAGTGAGGAGGCAGAATGGCAGGAGTAGCTATACTGCCGAGGCTGGCTGGCCTGAATTTGTCTTAGACTATTTCCAATGGGGTACTCTACAGGTGCAAAGCGATTGAAACAATCAGTCTCTGAAGAGTGACTGTGAAAGAACAGAGATTTAACTCTGAAGTTTCACACAACCAGAACAGTTCCCCCAGGGAACACTTTAGTTACATTTCTGTGTCCTCTAACATTCAGAAGAACCAGAATGTAGAGAACAGAAATTTCACTGTGTATAGATTCCATATTCAGAATTATTTTGTTTAACCTAAACTATCACCAGCACGTTCCCTCTAGTTTCTTAGACCTCCCATTAGCAAGCATGTATTAGCTGGCTGGCCATGTGTTGGTAAATTGGAAGATTGACAGCTAAGCATCATCTATCTTTCCCTTCATTAGCTGAATCTCTTCTACCTAGCTGCAAACTTCACAATACTAACACTTGACTTTGAGCAG